CCTGGTGGCCTCCTTAGCTTGCTTGCCCCAGCAGGGGTGGGAGAAGGCTGAAGACTCTCAGAGGCACCTTCTTTGGGGAGTGCTGGAGAGTGCTCACAGGCCAGCCACCACCGTCTCTGCACTCACAGAAGAAAAGTGCTTGGGTGGGCTCCAGAGTGAGGATAGACCCTTTGAAGGTTCTTAGGCTGGCCAAGGCAATATCCTTGGTGCTTTTTGCCCCTGGGATAAACCCAGGGTGGAGCAGTTCCCCCAAAGTAGAAGGACAAGGTCTTTGGTTTGGACCTCTGGCCAGAAATTCTAGAGTCTGTCCTACTCATCTGCAGAAGGTCCTAGAATGAGTTGGCCCAAGAGGTGAAGGCATTCCCTGCAGAAGCCTCCGGATCCCCGTGAGAAGGTGCCCAGGTAACATGCACTTGGCCCAGCAGGAAGGGGTCTAATGGGAGCTCAGAGGTAGACTAGAGACTCTCCATTTTGTGGGGAAGAGGTGGGGACCTAAGGAACTTTATTTACAGTCTGAAGATCCTACTTCCTTCCTTGCTTGCCAAACGTCTAGACTGTCACATCAAGTCACACCAGGCCCAATTTCTGGGTGTCTTTCCCTGCCTCTGTGTCCTCGCCCTGCCTATTAGGATGCCTGTTGGTGGGGCTCATGCTCAGCCCAAGATCTGGAAATATTTTTGCAGGCTTTCTGTTAGCATCAGAGGAAAGGACCTAGCACAGGGGGAGTGCGATGCGCCGAGGTCCCTGCCGGTGGTGTAAAAAGGTGCGCTAGGTTTGCTGTTCCAGGGCCAGGTGGGTGGCTCCCAGGGGAGAGCAGAGAGTGAGGAAGGACATGCCATCCCGCAGCGCTTTGCTTTTCTCTGCCCACCCCAGCCTGTCTCTCATTCTCCTCCATTCTTCTGACATGGGAGTTGCCCTCCTTCTGCTCAGAAGAATTGCTGGCAGCGACAGAAAGGAGATTACAGGCAATATTTTTGCCTCGAAGCTTTCTCCAGGCAGTAGAGAAACAAGTAGAACTCGCTGGCTGTCAGTGCTGGGAAAGGAGAAACCCAGGTAGATTGTAGCCCTGAAGCAGCCCCTTGCACGGGGCATGCCAGTGTCATCTCTGATCGTCCTTCTTCTTGCTGATGTGCATTTTATGAATCCCTGGGTGGGAGGCCGGTTGGATTCTCTTCCCTGATGCTGGTGTGACTCCTCTCCAGGAGTCCCAGCTCCTCTGTGCTGTCTCAGGTATAGGAGTACGCAGAAGCATGGCCAGAGAAAAAGGGCAATGTATGGTTGCAGCAGGATGCAGGTGGGACAGCTCTGGCCTCGCAGGGCTTCGATGAGAGGCAGAAGTTGAAGGACACAGCAATCAGGCAGAGCTCCCTGCTTCCCCAGCACTGACCTTGACCCTGACCTTGACCCCTGCCCTTCTGCTGTAGGGTGAGAAAGGAGGGGATGGTGGAGCCAGCTGCCAGGAACAGCCTCATGCACACACTGAGGTGACAATGATTTCCTTTCCATCCATCTTTCCCACGGGGCTCGGAGCCCCCTGAAGATAAGGTGAAAGAGTGTGTGTGTGTGTGTGTGTGTGTGGGTGTGGGTGTGGGTGTGGGTGTGATCTTTGGATCATCAGGTCTGGATACATGGTAGATTTTTAATATACTGTGGCTGAATTGAAGCAATTCACATTCACCCAGAAGAGGAAAGGAGAGAGTTGTATGAACCTACCCAAAATAGCTCTCCAGTCTGCCAAGTTGGCCTCAGACATCCAGAAGGTGACATTCATGCAGCGCCAAGGAGCGGCCTACCTCACCACTTAGACCACATCTACCTCTGCCTTCCCCTTCGGCGACCCCAGTATTCATTCAGAACTTAAGACTGCAAACATTCTCTTTGGCTTTGTAAGAAACACAAGAACAAAGACAGGGATGGGGGAGAACAGATGTGGAATCAGAAGATAATGCCACTAGCTGGCCATGTTCCTAGTCAAGACCTGTGCATGACTTTCTTAAACCTAATTACCCATGTATATAAAATGGGAATTACTGCCTGGCAAGGAAAAAGGCATGTCTCATATGCCTCTAGCAGGATGTAAAGGACATTTCTGCATGTAATTTGTAAAAACTCTAAAACAAACATACTTTTGAATTTGGTAAGTCGATATCTAAAACCTCACCCTAAAAAAATGATCAAGTCTGATGCAAAAGTCAGCTGCAGGAATGGGCATTATGGGCTGGAGCGATAGCTCAGTGAACTAAGCAGCTACTTAGGCAAGCGCAAGGCCTGGAGTTCGATCCCCAGCACCATATGTTATGCCGGCCCTGCTCCTGGGCACACTAAGTCAGCCACCAAGACCAGGCATGGTGGTGCACCCCTGTAGTCCCAGTGCTGGGGAGGCTAAAACAGGAGAATCACTATGGGGGCAAGCTGTGTAGTGAGATCTTGTCCCAAATACATAGAAAGAAAAAGAATGGGCATTATTTGTTATTCTAACTGCAAAAACTGGAAATAATATAAATTTACATATGATTAAAAATCTGGCTGAATATATATAGTACACCCATAAATACAATACTATATAGCTATCAAAATTAGAGTGCATATTTCCCTTTACATGAGAAGTTTTGATATGCTGATAAATATAAAAAGCTGGTTATGGAGCAGTATGGATTTTCAAGAAAGAACCACTTTATTCCAAATGTTGGCTGTAGTCATCTTTGTATTACAGAATAACACCTTTTAGTCTCCTATTTATCTATTTTCTACAATAAGCATGTGTGGTTTTGTAAAGATATAAAAAGTATATTAAAATATCGACTCCTAAAGTTTAGGGACTGGCAGAGACAGTGCACATAAAGGTATTTGCAGGCTGAATGATTTTACAGACACATTTTTGTCCGCGAGAAACTGACTATAAAGACATGACAAATACATACGATGGCTGCAGCGTGAGATAGGATGTGACAAGACCTTTCACAGAGGACAAGCAGCATGCTCCCTGGAAACACAGAAGAGGAAAAAATATTTCTGGCTGCAGAGGGAGCTGCACATTGTTTAAGTTGAATATTGAAGAATGACTGAGCACCGATGGGAATCCTCTTAGAGCTTTCGATGTGTGCCGTAGGTTTGCCACCAGTGGGGAGGGCCTGGTTGAGTGGGAATACAGAATTGGAACACTGAGAGAGTAGGGAAGGAGTTGCCCATCCGGAAAGCTTGGTCTGAAAGCTGTGGTGCTCGCAGGGGAGGAGGGGCTGTGACTGGCAAGGCCGGGGACCTCTCCAGGTTGGGGCACTGGAAATGGAGAGAAGGGAGGATGATCTTCTCCCTGGTAAAAGGGATGAGAAGGGAGAGTGATGGGGAGAGAGAACAAGGTGGGGCTTGGAGCAGGGAGGGGTGGGCAGTGTCTTGGGTTTGCAGCTGGAGAAGCAGAGTGCTGGGCATTGTCAGAGCGTTTACAGATGTGGTCTCCTGGAGGAGGGGCAGGGTGAGAGGAGAGAAAGGAACGACTTGGCTCTTATGGAATCACTCATACTCTGGATTCCTTGGCATGGCTGTCCCAGGGGCCCTGCAACTGGGTCTCAATATCTGTCCCCTCTGGAAAGAGTCTGGGTTAAGGAACAGGGAACAGGCCGAGATGTTCATGGAAGTGCAGGAGCTGCCCTGCTTATCCTTGGAGGTTCTCCCAGCAAGGCCAGGAACTTCTCACACTCCTCCTTTCTGCTTCTGGGACTTCAAACCTTTCTCCGCACCCCAGATGCTATCTCTCTGCCACCCTCACCTCTCCAGCAGTGTGCACACAGGTGTGTGTGTGTGTGCATGGGTGTGCACACACAAGGGCACATGTGGGAGGTGGGAAAGCCTCCCCTGTCTCTATTTCCATTTCCCTGCTGCAGCTTCCTGCCTGAGTTACTGCTTCACTCCTCTTGTTGTCATGTCACTAGTTAATTACATTCTTTACTGAGGTGCAAATGTGTTTTTACAGGGAGACTAAGACAGTGTTAACTAGGAAGGAACTGTTAATGTTAAAGATGCTTTTGGGCTGGTGAGATGGCTCAGTGGTCTAAAGCACCTACTTAGAACAAGCTAAGCTAAGCTAAGCACAGGGACCACAGTTCAATCCCCCAGCACCACATGCCAGCCCGCCCCGCCCCCTGGTGGGCTGACCTGGCCACACACATACACAAAATAAATAAATAAATAAATATTTAAAAAAAAAAAAAAGATGCTTTTGCCTCAAGTGTAGCCTGGGGCCCTCGCCTGGAGGTGCTGCCCAGTGCTACAGGAAAGCTGAAGGTGCAGCCTGCACCCAGGACCCTGCTACCCTGGCTGCAGGCGCAGTGGCACATCTCTTAGTGGATGTGCTCATCCACTAAGAGATGCTGGTGGGCCTGTTGAAGAAAATATCTGGCCAGAACGTTGGACAGCATGTACAGGCGCCTTGGTTCATGTCAGAGACTGAGAAAGAAAAATTCACTGTAACCTAAAGTTCAACAAATAACTTGTTCAGCCAAAGCCACCTGCAGACCCCAGGTGCATTCCCCTCTTCCCCGTTGCCCTGAGTCACCCTTTGCACCATGCTTCCACCCAATCCTCCAGATCCCCAGCACAGGCCTCCTGGTATCCCATACTCATCTGCAACCCCTAAAGAGCTGTGGCCGCTGCCCCTCCCTTGGAGTTCTGTTTGGATCCCAGAACAGCAAGTCAGCTGGTCTTCCCAGCACCCAGAACTCACTGGCAGAGACCTGCCACCCTGGAGGACAGAGGGAACCAGACAGGCAACCAGAGGGTGCTAGCAGCAGTGGAAAGGTTTGGGCCCCAGAACGGATGGTGAGGAGAGACGGTGCTCTGTAACTGTGCTGGGGAGAGAGTCAAATGGCAAATACGGTAGGAAAGCGTGGAGAGGAAGTAGAATGTGCCCCTTCTAGAAGAGCGCATCCTGGGGAGAGGAAGGGTCAGCCGAGCCAGGAGGCCCCTGTGCTCGCGCCCCTGCTGAGTGCTGTTCTGCCCTCCCACAGGCGCTCAGGTTGGAGCTTCGGGGGAGCAATTCCAGCCCAGCTGGAAGTAAGCAGAGGGCAGTGAGGCTCCTGGAGACCACCCCAGAGGCCGGGACCACCCAACAGTAAGAGATGCCCTCCTGTCCTTGAACACGCAGCTCGATCTTCCAGGCAAGTTTTTCTCTCTTCCAAAAGCTTCTAGAGTCAGCTGATCTCAAAACTGAGACTTAACGCAGGCAGCCTTAGACAGCAAAACCCTGCTGTTTCTTCATATCGCCTGCCTAGCTCCTTCATGGCCAAGGCCAACCCTTGTCCCTGTGCTTTGTTTCTTCTATGTGTTCCTTGCGCAATGAGCTGCTGCTAGAGATGGACGTTGCGTTTCTGTAACTCTCTGGAGCAAGCGCCATCACCGGAGAGTTACCTGGGGGTGCTGGTAATGACGCAGCTCCTGGGCCCCAGAGCCAGACTCTGGTTCTGTCAGTGGGGGTCAAGACCAGGGAATGTGCACCGCAAGGGTTTGTGATGAACACTGAGGAAAGTGCACCCCAGCTGTATTTGATGGAGAAATGGTTCTTTAGAATACATTAAGTATTTGAATAGAGAATCTCATTTAATCCTCTTATCAGACAGGGATATAGGGTTTTTGTTTTTTAAATCTTCTAAAGTAACTTCATGATCTCACGAACTTAAATATCAGCAAGAGGCAGGATTTAGAGAGCCAATTATCCAGAATAACCGTTTTTTGCTTCCTAGTATGCCGCACGTAAGGGCTGCATCTGTTATGGTGAGATCGGGCTCCCGGTCCAAAGGCCCCTGCCTAGGACTTTGTAAGTTTCCTGATATCCTAGGGCCACCATGGCCCTATCATTTGTGAGCTTCCCTTTCGGGGACAGTAATCATGGCCATGTTCCACACAAAAGCTGGTTTCTCTGCAAAGCAGAGGTGAATGGTAAGGACTCGGCCAGCTCAGCAAGCAGGTGGCCAACAAAGCCACGAATGTCCATAGCAGACCCCATGCCCCAGCATGACAGTTGCAGCAGGGATCGCCCTGCTTCTGTCTGGGGAGCTTGGCACCATAGGTGTGTTAAGGGGCAGCCAGCAAGCTTGAGCACACTGTGGTTCCTCGAGGGAAGGCTATCCTGAGAGTCGAGATTCCTGTTCCCCTCATCTGGACAGTCCCCCTTGGGGAACAGTTGACACTTTCTAGCACTTGATCCTGTGTGGACAGCGATGTGGCACAGAACTCATTGTGTGCAGCGAGGATATGAAGAAGATGGCAGGTGAGTGAAACACAAAGGAGAGACGGACAAGGGTATGTGCTGGTGAGGTAGGAGTGTATGTTTCCCATGTCCAGGGACTTGCTTTGGGACCAAAATGCAACTGAAGGTCTCCCTTGGAACTCCCCAATTGGTACAGCCCCACTTTCTCCAGGCTGAGGCCATGGTAGAGTGTCCAAACAGACTGGCCTGTGCCTGGGAGACAGGATGTGCCCAGTGTCACCACCTACACGGTAGACTATGGGGAAATGGGGGTGCTGGCTGCTGACTCCTGTCATGGACTGTCTTTCTGGAGAATGGGAGGCATCTGTGGATGAGACAGAAATGAACTCACACATCACCCTTGACCTCCATCTCTTTATTCTCCCAGGACCCGGGTGTGCGTGTACACACACACACACACACACACACACACACACCCCCTACTGAGCTGTCTTTCCACATGCGTAACACTATGGTCTGTCCTGGGGAATACGTACAGTTGAACTATTGCCGGGACGGGTGCAGTTGGCAAGGACAATTTTTGCAGCTAATGCTGAAAGTGTGGCAATCAGAGAAGCCGCCAGCTGTCTCACTTAAATTCTTAGCTCCCTTGCTCTCCTTTTTTAAAATCGTTTTGCTTACATAATCCACCCCCTTTTTATTTTCTAATTCTCTCCTTGCAAAGTTGGCACCAGAGGGGAAGGGCTGGGTGGAGGGGGTAGCAATTACACATTAGTTTGGGGAGCATTTACATTTTGCAATTGCAATTTAAAAATAAGTCTCGTTAATGATCTCCACGTGTAATGACAAACCTTAACTGACACGCAATCTCTCCTGGGCCTGCCAGTCGCCTTCCCCCCAAGCCAGAGGTTCAGTGGAGGGAGAAGTTCCCAAGGAGACCAGAGGCAGTGGGGACACCTTAGGTCTGAGAGGCAGCCAGAAATTCATGTGCCTTTGAGGACAGAGCTGAGCTGAGGGTGTGAAAACCAAGCCTTCTGGTCTCCAGCTTCTCTCCTCCTCCCTGTGCCCAGGTGGGACCCTGGCCCTTCCTGCTGAGCCCTGGTATAGTCAGCCTCTGTCCTCAGGAAGCACCACACCATCTGTGCTCAGAATTGTAGCAAAGGGACCCCAGCTGCTGGTGACATCCCAGTCCTGTTGGGCAGAGGTGGATCCCACCCTCGAGAGCCAGTCAAGGCATCTGGAGGCCCACTAGTTGTGTAAAGAAGATGATTTCTAACTCAGAACTCAGAAAATGAAGCACATTCATTGACCCGCCATGTGGGAAAAACACTTTTCTTCCTATGAATGAGTTAGCACATGCTTATTGGAGAGCTCTGATTTCTGTGAAAGCTCAGGCTTTGCATCTGGACCCACAAAGCTCAGGTCATACTTCTGCTGTTTACTGGCTGTGGGACTTGGGCACATTGCAGAACTGGAGCTTTTCCTGTCATTATCTTTATGTGATGGGGCTAATCATGGGCCCCCTTGGGCTTCAGACAGCATCTAGTGCATGGGAAATGCTCAGAACGGAGGCTCCCGCCTCAGACTCTCCCAGCAGCCCCAAGACACGTTCTCCTCCTCATATTATTGCTGTTCCTTCCTAGATAGGAGGTGTACTCAGGAAGAGTGATGCAGTCCGACTTCTCCAGGCTTTGCCCCAGAGTCATCCATGTGTGTCCCAGGCAGCTCCTGAGCATACCGCCCTCTGCCCCGGACTCTGCAGACTTTAGTCCAGGCTTCCAGTCCAACCTTCCGTGTCTTGTTGGGTCTCTGCCTGACTGGCTTGTCACAAGCTCACTTCTCTTTTCTGGGTGCACCGTCAATGGGCTGATGCTTTTCACTACCCACCAGCCAGCGCCCTGTGCATGTTTCTTATCTGTGAATAAGGGTGGTGAACCAGGAGCTCTCTGAGGAGCCTTTCATCCTGAGAGCGGGAACCTCTGGTCCTCTCTCCCTACTCTGTTCCACTCCAGCAAATACTTGTGTAGAAAGCTGTCAGACTCTTGGGCAGGTTCTTCCAGTCAAGGACTCAGAGCTCCTTCTTGAAATACAGCATGCACAAGATTACCCTCATTTATTGCCAAAGAGGTACCTGCCTGACAAGGATCTGCAAGGAAAGGAAGTTCCCGGAGCAGGCCGCACGGCCCAGAGCAGAGGACATGGAAGGGGAGGCAGTCAGGAAGCTCCTCAAAGGCACGGTCTAGGCCTGCATGGGGAGAAGGGATGTATTTTGACGCAGTTGTGTTTTGAGGGTGGTGTGGTTGATTTTTATAGCACTGGCCTAGTATGCACAAGTCCCTAGGTTAGAAAAGAAAGGAAAGAGATAGATAGATAGATAGATAGATAGATAGATAGATAGATAGATAGATAGATAGATAGATGATAGATAGAGATGAGATCCTGCCCTAAAAACTTGCATTTTAAAAAAATTGACACATAATAATTGTGCTTAGTTGTGAGGTGGAATGTAAGCAATCTATGCATGGATACAATGTGTAATGATTAAATTAGGATAATTAGCACTTGCTTCTCCTTAAATATTTATCATTTCTTTGTGTAAAATCTGCTTTTGAAACCTAGATTGTATGATGTGCTGCTTTCCAAACCAAAATAAGTCGGTCTGTCCTGGTGGTTTCCAGCTGCTGCGTCACTTCTTCATTTACATGAGCGATTACACTTTTATGAAATTAGAACTAAGGTACATGTGAGTAAAAGGCAAAGAATGTAAAGCTACGAGGTTAGAGGCCTCCCTTCCTTTCTCCACCTCTGTAACCACAATGAAAAACTTGTAATTTTAGTTATTTGATGGCTGGTACTTATTGTGCTAAATAACACACTAATGGTTCTTTCTTTCTTTCTTTCTTTTTTTTTTTTTTTTTTTTTTTTTTGGTGGAACCAGGGATTGAACTCAGGCCCTTGCGCTTGCCAGGCAAGCGCTTATTCTAATGAGCCACCTCCCTGACCCTAAGTAATACATTAACGTTCCTCTTAACGTTCCTCTTTCTTCACTTGTCTCTCTGTCTATGCCTGGCCAAGGAAGTTGGAGGAGTCACCACATACCCTGTCCCTTCCAGTTTGCACAAATTTGATTATTTTTTTATCAAACTATATTCAATAGTCTATTTTAGGACATATTGGTATATTATATGCCATATAGTATAATATTATATGTGATACGTAATGTTATGTAATACATGTATATTACTATACATTAATATAACATAAATCTCTTAAATTTCAATGTAAATATATACTACATGATATACAGTATACGTAACACTATGAATTACA